CACACTGACCCCATCCTTCCACTAACCCCCTACTGACCCTACACTGACCCACTACTGCTGCTCACACTGACCCCATCCTTCCACTAACCCCCTACTGACCCTACACTGACCCACTACTGCTGCTCACAATGACCACAGCAATTCACACACCCCTTCCCACTCCACCCATCTACACAAGGATCAAAACGCTGATCCTTGCAATCGCACCCACACTGGTGCTTATGTTGACCACCACTGCCATGTTAACGCAAGGGCATGATAGGCAGAGACCTCTCACCTTGAGAAGCGCGAGGTCTCAACAGGCAGCAGATGTTTGATGTCAGCGCTGCCGGAGAAGATGCCCTCCAGATAGACCCAACGTCTCTGCACGTCGATCCAGACATCAAACAGTGCATTGATGCGATTCAGCTTCTCCTCCCATGCCAACGCATCCTCCTCAAACTCCTATAGGTAACAACAAACAGCAACATATATATCAGAATGAGCACCACACACTTGTTTTACATTAAGTTTACAACTATTAAAAACATGTAAAAAATAAAAGTTATGTAAAAATAATGTAATGTAATGTCATGTAATGTAATATAATGTAATGCAAACCAATAAAAAAAATTTTTTTTTTAAACTTAGAAATATTTTAAATTAATTTCATTTCATTTTGTTATTAATTAAAAACAAACATATTTGTATGATATCATACATCTGACCCTGACAGAGCACGCACCTTGTAGTATGGAGAGAGCTTCATGGCTGCCACGCTGTTGATGTGCTCCTTCACCTTGGTGAATAGATCGTCCCAGCCACGGATCAGCCTGCATTTGTTCTGGTAGTTGATCAGGTCCAACTCATATGTCTGCCAGGCTTCACGCACCTGCATAACATGCCAGGCTCGTTAGCAGCTGCAGCAGACCATCCCTCAACTTCACCATATACCATCCCTCAACCCCCATGACCCCACTATATACTAACTCTCAACCACACCAAATACCATCCCTCAACCCCACCATATACCATCCCTTAACCCCACCATATACCATCCCTCAACCCCACTATATACCATCACTCAATCCCACCTTACACCATCCACCAGCCACACATCTATAAAATTACCTAAGCCCCACTTTACTTTGTTCCACCACCACCCTCACCCTCACCCCCACAATCACACTCACCATCACAATCACCCTCACCCCCACAATCATACTCACCCCCACAATCATACTCACCCTCACACTCACCCTCCCCCTCCCCCTCACCCTCACCCTCACCCTCATCCTCACAACACCCTCACACACCTGTTTTAGGAACTCCTCGAGCGCCATCTCGCCCTGTGCGACGAGGATCACGTCGCGAATGATCGGCTCGTTCTTCTGCAGGTCTACGTCCCACACGTTGCCTAGCGACAGCTCGGACAGCACCCAGCTCACTCGCAGCTGCTTCATCAGGCTCTTCCAGTGTCGCTCCTTCAGTGCCTCCGACTTCAGCTCCAGCACCAGCACATTCGACTGTCACAGGTAATACTCGCCATTGGAATAATGTCACCAGATTTTATTGTATATAACATAAAACTTTTAAATATTTATTATATTAAAGTAATCATTGCGAGTTTTCCAGTGTTTTCACCACTTTCATGACACCTACCGTTATTGCTTGAGTAAGTGCCAGAGTTGCTGCGGGTCACTGCGAACAGTGATCTATTGGAAGTTAGTTTGCAATTGCTTAGGCAGAACAGGAGCAATTGATGCTGTTCAAACGTTTCGGCCCCAAACAAACGGGCCCAAAATGTTTACTGTCCTCATGAACATTACGGTTAAATTAGAAAAAACAAAAACAAATAAAAGTTGTTTCTGTTATGGTGCAGAACATCGTGGATACATACTCCAGTTTGTTCATTATACAGATTTCTAATGTTGCATCTTGGGCATCAGCTACAGCCAACAGAACACAGCTGCACTGGTATGTAAGATGCTCGCAATTTTCCCCAATTTTTGATATTACATCAAGACACATGACAGCAGCTACGTAACCTGACATTTAGCATGCTCCATAAATACCTATTATATACAACAACAAAGTATCTGTGGTGTAGAAACGAATAAACTTATTAACGATGTCTTCCCACGCACATTTTTGTAACAAACCACTGTAAAAACGTAAGTAAATAACGCAGTTTGAAAATTAAACTGTAAAAATATGTATTAAAGTGATTACGTCACCGTAAATAGTAAAAAATAAAAAAAATGTTTCCACTTTTTCACAAAATATAAGTAATTCTGTTCACTTTTTATGGTTAAATTGCTACATTATACTTCTTATTTTACTATATTGTTCGATGTGACGCATGTACACTCGTGACGCATACATAGCCCATAGCAAGCAATTAATGTCAGGAACACTAATCAAATCGTCTAGGTTTTTTGGATTTTTAACTAGTTGAGAAACAATCTTATCAGGTAAGAATATGACGATACGTTTAGTCCTGTTAGTTCTTACCTTTAATGTAAAAAAAGGGCAACACAAATTTTACCATAGAAAATTCGTGACGTAGTCAATTCAAACCTATGTTTGCTCAGTGAAAACACAACTCTAAAATCCCTTTTCGCCGCGGTTCTGTGTAACGGCAGTTTTGTGCATAGGCTCACTTATTGATGACGACGTAATACGTCACAACATCGCCGCAGAGCGGCAAAAGTAAACGCTGTTTGAAACATTCGACCCGACACTTTCACTTTGTAGTCTAAAAGCTTTGAATTAACGTATTCCCGAGCAATTTTTTTTACCTATCACACATATATAGGCAAGTACAAACGTGCAATGCTAAAATAATTCATTTTTGCCTGATTTTATGTTTGCCACTTGAAATTTCGTGGGCAAGGCACATTCAAAAAAATAACTTTTTATTTTAATCTCTCTCTCTCTCTAACATATACTGTCTTTTGTTATTATATTAATCCCTTTATTAATTTTTACATTATGCTTAAAAACGACCAAAACTTGTCATCACAAGTAAAAATTCAGTCATATCCTACAGGGGCGGATCCAGGATTTTAGGAAGGAGGGGGTGCAAGTGGGGGCAAAGATTTTTTATTCTTTAAATTCATTAATTTCACATATATATGGGTTTTCGGTCCATAAGTTATTAATGTGAGCTTTTGGCGTAGCTGATTGAAATGCGTGCACTGCATTTGGCAATATAATGTAACTCATCTAGTGCATCTATACAGGCGACCGTACAGTGGCGACATGCTGCATGGCGCCGCCACTGTTTTGCTAACATCATTTTAAGAAAGGCAGCGGTGAGTTTTGGACCTAGATTTTCCATTTTGGATTTGAGCATGGTATGGCCCGACTCCTGGGCCTGACCAATATATATATTCTAAGACAAGTGCCGCGGAGCGACAGCGCTCATCTAACATCTACTGCGGTGACTCTGTGGTGGAGTGGTGGGATTCTAGTAAACCCTGTTAGTCCCAAATGTGTTCACATACGCGCCGAAACAGTGGAAGGCACAGGGATGGTATCAGGAACCTTCTCAAACACTGTCAAAGGAATGTTCGTTGGGATCGTTATGAAAGTTGCCACGAGATGGCGCGTACGTTTAAGTTGCTTAAGATTAAAGATGGAAGCTCCCATCGTACGTAGTAGCAACAACTATTTGCAAGACAGAATAGGTAAGCACTCATCATCCATTTACCTACGCAAGCCTACAGGCTAAAATAGAGAGCTGCCGCCTGTAACTAATTAACGCAGGCAAAAACTACACAGTACTATCACCACCACATGCACTGGCAGTGGCATAAGTTACATGTAACACACTGACAGTACAGAGTGCCATAGAAATTATACGATTTAAGGAGCATAAACCTTCTTCAACCAAATTTAGCTTTTGAAATTTCACTGTGACATTGTAGCCTCATACATCCAGGCATGTATAGATTCTACTAGCAAGCCTGGCAGTCAAATTCTTTCTAACAGTAAACAAATCCATGTTTAACCCTCCTCTTGAGGGTCAAGAGGTTATCCGACACTTACTCTTCGCATGTCAGCAGAAAGTACATTTCGTGGTCCAAATTCGGCACAGTGATGGCTTTTCCTACCATGATGCTATACACCGACTATCACGAGCCTAGGTCGAGCCGTTTAGATTTTTATTCCGCAATTATGCATTTCCTCCCTACACCTTAAGTTAAGGAGGGAATGTTCCCCCTTCTTTTACACCTCTTGACCTTTGACCTTTGACCCCCAGCTTCAACATCCCAACTCGTTTTGACGATCCCCCCCAACATCCCGAATATCGTGACTGTACGTCAAGCGGTTAAGATTTGTGACCAACCGATTCTACAAGCTGCATCTGACTATGTCTGATGAGCTAAAAAAACGAGGGCTTGATCGGGTCCGACCGAGTGAAATACTTGTCAGATACAGGCCGAGTGGCGTATTTTTAATAAGGATAATAACTTTGGCAAAAAGGGCACTTTGTGTGGGGGGGCGCACCCCCTGCACCCCACCCCCCTGGATCCGCCCCTGTCCTATATGGTAAGCATATTTTAGAACATTCAACCATAATGGCTGATTTTAAAATAATCATTATCATCTGTGATTAACAGGAACTGGCTGAGAGGCAGGCTGAGGAAAGAAATTCCTTACAGTCACAAGAAGCACCCTATGATGCACGAACATGGTTGAGTTACTCAGTTTATTCCCAGTTGACCTACTCCCATTTCGCCTACAGCAAAATTCCCAGTTGGCCTACACCCATTTCGCCTACTCCCAATTCGTCTACGCTCAAAATCTACCCCATTCCCATTTCGTCTACGATCGGTTTGTTCACTAAATAATCATTTATAAATAATAAAATATGGTTTTGATTGGCATACATAGACTACGCCACTACGGGAACCAGAAGAAAATATAGGTACAAATAATGACAACACAACTTGGCAAAAATAGAAAATACAGTAGCATAAAAATACAATGGGAGTAGGCGAAATGCGAATATTGCCAATTCTGAGAGTAGACGAAATGGGTGTAGGCGAAATGGGAGTAGGCCAACTGGGATGTTACAGAGTTACGCACTCACCTGGTATCGGGAACTCTTAATCCTTGACTGAGAGGTGACGACGGCCTCCCAGGCAAACAGCTGCTGCATGATGTTGCAACGCGCTTCCTCGATGGACGGACTCAGATACATGACTTGGTTGGTCATGCGAACTTCATGTACCAGGCCCTGCAAGAAGTACCAGTTATAGAACACCTTGGCTTCTCAACAGGACTGTCTGGAGATTAAGAACACATCACACTGTCGCAAGACATGCTGATTATCAAGAAATCGGGCTCAGCTTTCTAGAGAATACCTTTAGATGTCATTCTGAATGTGTATCATATTCATACTGAAGCATGAGGTATCATCTAGTTAAAGAAGAGCTTCATCACATTGCTTTCAAAGTTATCTTTCCTTAAAATGGGCCTTTTATCTCACACCTACATCTACACCCTTTTTTGTACAACCATAATTGGAACTTCATTAATATTTATCTCAACACTGAGAAAGGGTTCATATTTTTAGTTAATATGTTGTGTTAAAAAGAGTAAACCATGTTTCTGTTAAGGTCTAAAGCAATTGTGGAAACAGACCCCAGTTTGTTCCTTATACATGTTATATGGACCTTTTGTTGTCTCCCTGGCATCAACTACAGGCAAGAAAAACCAATCAGCACTGATATTTAAGCTGAGAGGGTCTATGTCCCCCAGGGTAATGCTGGAACGTACCATGGGTACAGTCCGGTATACCGGAACGTACCCTGGTACTATCTAATATTCCGGACCGTACCTCGCCTACTCCACTAACGAGTCTAGGGAGTCGCCTACGCCTACTCCCTAACCCTAACCCTAACCATATCAGATAGTTACCAGGGTACGTTCCGGCAGTACCCTGGGGGACATAGTCCCTATGAGCAATATTTAAGATGGTTTTTTCCAAATTATACAGAGCATGACAGAGGACACAAATGGTTTCTGCTTTGGAATTGTAAGAAATGTAGTAATATAGTACACTTACCGTGATCTTTGGCTCACCACCAAGCTTGCTAACAGTACCATCTGTGTCTTTGTCTGTGTCTTTTTGCTTTCCTTTCAGACAGTCTGTCCATGCCTTTAGTCCAGCTTGCAGTCTCATAGCTAGCCTTTTCTCCACCTGTATTTTGCATATGGAATCAAAAGCAATCAGAGCTAATAATAAACATAGGAAGAAGGGAGTGTATAACGGGAAAACAGAAAATTACAAACGGAAAGACCACAGTCCAATATCTCAGCCTATGAGTGTCATGGAAACAAGCAGTTGATCTTGTTTTAGAGAAGAGATTGCTGCTATGAGTATGAACGTAATCTACACTTGCAATTAAAATGGAATAATTTTGCAGTCAAAGAGCACCTTTTCACCATTTTACCGTTATACACTATCAAGAGCGTATAAATAAGGAGAGCGTACAACGGTGAAATGGTGAAACCATGTTGCAGTATTAGTCGAATTAAGAAACTTTGCCCGTTTTATTCAATGACACCGCAAAGAATCATCAAAATAAAACGGGGAAAGTTTATTAATTCGACTAATACTGCAACATGGTTTCACCATTTCACCGTTGTACGCTCTCCTGCTTTATACGCTCTTGACACTATGTATTATTAGCTCTTGATCACATGTCCACAATTCAGTGAATGCTAAAATTATTACTGTAATGAACTTCACAGCCCACACTGCATCTCCACTATGTATCGCTGAGTGGCAATGATGTGGCCATTGCACTGCCGGCATAAGCATGCATACTATACCTCTTCGTCAAGCTTCAGCACCCACTGGTGTAGGTTGGAGTACTGGTGCAGGCTGAGTCCGTCAACGTACTTCTGGATCTTATTCATGACGTCGGCAAGCATTTTCGCGTTGTAAGGGCACGTCTCGAGCAGGCGCACGTCCACGTCTATCTGTTCCACCACGTCCAGTAGGTCATCCACCTGTAACAACGCACGCACGCAGCACTGAGCAACAGGTACACACGCTGATCGTGTAACACATACAACACATGCACACCAAGCACACACGCACGCACGCAGCACTGAGCACCAAGTACACACGCACGAACGCACGCACACAGCACTGAGCACCAAGTACACACACACGCAGCACTGAGCACCAAGTACACACGCACGCACGCACGCACACAGCACTGAGCACTAAGTACACACGGCACGCACGTAGCATGAGGACAAGTACACACGCCGTCACGTAGCACTGAGCACCAAGTACACACGCACGTACACACGCACGCATGCACGCACGCAGCACTGAGCACCAAGTACACACGCACGCACGTAGCACTGCGCACCAGGTACACACGCACGCACGCAGCACTGAGCACCAAGTACACACGCACGCACGTAGCACTGAGCACCAAGTACACACGCACGCACGCAGCACTGAGCACCAAGTACACACGCACGCACGCACGCAGCACTGAGCACCAAGTACACACGCTGATTGTGTAACAGTCATCAGAAATCTCATATCTACAATGATTTGTACTATTGGAACTCCTGTAAAAAGTTACTAACTAAAGGGGAGCTTATGTCGGGCTTGCGAGCCGACTCAACTGGAAGCAACTGGATTTCGAGCAACTGGAAGCGATCGGCAGCGACTAGTTGCGTCCAGTTGCCCACTGTTCTATTCCGAGCAACTAGTGGCAGCCAGTCGCAAGCAGTCACGTCGCAGTCGACCGACCCAAGCACTGCAGTCGCAGTGAATTGCAGCCAGTTGCTTCCAGTCGAGTCGGCTCGCAAGCCCGACATAAGCCCACATACCCAATCATTTAAGACTATAGACTAATATTACGACTAACATCTTCGTGACAACAGACCTCAGGGTTCTATCCTAGACGGATATATTAATATAGCAGTGATAAAACATAGTAGAAAAAATGGTAGACAATATTCAACTTTCTGCAGTCAAATTTATGTTGGGTAAATTATGAGAATATATCTTAGCTATATTAATTATAGCTTAGCATCTTTATTATAGCTTAGCATAATAAATATCTTAGCATAATTATATTTTTTAATAATTGCTGATCCTTTATTGTTATAGCTCAATTACTGGAGCATAGGTGTGGTAAACGGGTAGCTTTTGTCTAATATGACCAGTGCTTTGTTCTATTGCAATTATAATTTATAATTCAGTTATACGTGACTGACGATGATTACCTTCTCCTGGAAGTTGAAGATGTGATCGGCCAGTTTCTGAACGTATGGGTCGAGTTTGTAGGACTCCCAAACGAGCTGCGCCCCGGCACTTATCTGCACCTGTACTTCTACCTTCATGCCAGCAACCAGCAACTGGATGGTTTGCTTCTCCTGAACCTGCAAAATAAACAGATGGATGGCATTCATTAATGACATGGCAAGGAGCCCTTTCATTAATCACTGGGTTTCACCACATTGCCTGGTAACCACTGACTGACAAAGAAGGTAAATATAGTCAAGAGGAAAAATCATAGTTTACACCCAATCCAATCTTTACAGTATAGTTCTCAGTATCAAGGACATAAAACAGGCAGAAAAACTATGCACATAACACAATCATTTGTCTACCTTTTCACATGTCCGTTCGTATGTACGAATGCTTTCGATCAGAGAAATGGCAAATGGGTAGAGCTGGTTCGCTTGATGTGCCTTGTTCACAATGGCCAACGGCACTCTGTAGCCGAGCCACTTGAGGTTCCTCACCTGTTTGCATAAAATTAATATTCAAAAAAGTAAGTAAATCACACAATAATCATAAATAAAATAATTCAAGAAATAAAACAAAAGACACTACGATATGAAATTCAATAAAGTTTTCAAGGACGCTGATTATGAAAAGCAGGAGGAAATGAGAAATGATTTAATGTGGAGGTGACTTGAAGCCAGCACGTCAGACTAATTGCAAACAGATTCCATATACCAGATACCACACCACATACCAGAACCAGATACTCAGACACCAAAATAGCGCACATACCAGACACCAGATACCACACCATATACCAGAACAGATACCACACCAAATACCAAGATACCAGATACCACCACTACATACCAGAACCAGATACACATCA